CCATACCACACCCAGTGCTCATCCCAACAGGTGCCCTCCTCAATTTTCATCACATTTAATGTTTGATTATACCTGCTCTTTGAAAGAATTAATAGTATAAAATTATGACCATTTTTAATTAGTGAGTTTATATATATAAACATATATGGTGTATATGTTTATATAGATAGATATGTTTTTAATGAGTATATTTTTATGACAGTTTATGTACTTCCCCACACATAAGATAGATTAATACTTCTTTAGTCCAGCCAAATGTTACTATGCTTAAGTAGTAAAAATGACCACAGTTTTGTACTCTTATAATTAAAGTCTTAAAACATTTTAAATTTAATTATTAGGGATGGAAACATTTTACATAGGTATTACGTGTATGGAAACATACGTACATATTATATATGGAAACATGTATATACTATATATTGATATATATTGCATATATATGCATATATTATTATTAAATATATATATTAGTTATTACTACATACTACACACTGTGCAACTTGTTTAGTGTACTAAAATGAAAGAGAATACTGCCTGCTTTTGAATCTATTATGGTTTAGTAGAGGAAGTAAGGCCATAAACTCGTGTTTTACATGTAACATGCGAGGTACATTTATGACAGCACAACAAAAGGACATCTAACCCAGCCTAGAGAGGGGAAGAGCACAGTGAAGAGACATCAGTAAAATTCTTCTTGGGAAAAGAAATACGTGAGATGGGGCTTAAGTGATGATAGGATGGTGGCACACAAAGAGAGGAAAGGGTGAACATGAAGAGAAGATACTTTAGGCATGAGGATTTCAAGACAAATGTAAGATATTTATTAAGATCCTTGCCATATACTCTCTCTCTCTCTCTCTCAAAAGAAAGAAAGAAAGAAAGAAAGAAAGAAAGAAAGAAAGAAAGAAAGAAAAGAAAACCTAAAAACTAAAAAAAAAGGGGGGGGACACCTGGGTGGCTTAGTCGGTTAAGCATCTGACTCTTGATCTCATGGTTTGTGAGTTTGAGCACTGCATCGAGCTCTGTGCTGACAGCGCAAAGCCTGTCAAGCTTTGGGATTCTGTTTCTCCTTCTCTTCCTCTTCTCCACTTGCACTCTGTCTCTCAAAAAAGAAAAAAAAACCCAAAAAGCAAAAAAGAAGTAAAAAAAAAAAAAAGATCCTTGCCAAATGGAGTAAGACAGCTATGTGGCCTTGAAATTTAACTCTTTTAAACTTTAATTGCCTCATCAATTATACCTATCTCATTGTGATGTTTGTGAGGAATAAATGAAATTATGCATAAAGTTTGTACTGTCATAAGTTTGATGACTGGCACATAATGGATTTCCTGATAGAAAGAAGTTATCATGATTCTCATCATCAAAGCCATGATATTTCACATTGTTAAAATTATTCCACTGATCCTAATGATATATTCTAGTAATTGGTAATCCAACTTTGTGTATAAATAATTCAGATTCTAATGTGAAATAATTCTATATTGTAGATAATAATTACTGCCATCCCACTTACTGTGTACTTTACTTAGTACATTGTGTGTTTGTTGTGATTATTACAATATTAAAAAAAAAGTCACCTCTAAAAGCAGTGGTTCCACCGTTCAGAACACAAGAAGACTAAAAAGCAGAGGAGCACTGAAGTTAAGAATGCTTAAAGGTATTATGGCAAAATGGGCCACAGTCTGGAAATGAAAATACATAGCTATATTTCTGCTCCACCCAGTATGCAGTAAAAACTTTGTGAAGTCAAAAATTGGGATGGCTGTGGCAGGAGCAGGAACGTTAAGAAGACTCTATCAAATACGTTGCAGCAATAGGGCCTCTTAAAGGATTGCATAGGTAGCAGATGCAAGGGGTTTATTTTCTGCTTAATTTATCTTAGATCAGCCATTCACAAACTGGCTTTATTTACATTTCTAGGATGAACAACCATTATGCTTAGGAATCACTGGTCCTAGTCAATAATTTGCTTACTGGTACCCCAACCCTGATGGTCTCTAGGCTTACTAAATGGATCCTCTTCTAAAAAAGGAATAATGATCTTTCTACCTGCTACCACTAGCATTATCACATTCTCTGCAGTTAATAAAAATTACTTTCTGCTAGTCTTTTGATCCCTTTTTATCATGGCCACCTACTGATGGACTTCATGTGTAAAGTTCTCTAAGCCTCAGTATATCCATCTGTTAAATGAGAATAATAGTTTTTTCATTGGGGTATCATAAAGATTTAATACAATACAGCAAGTAAAGTTCTTCATACAACACCTGGAACATTATACATATTCAACAAATGTTATTTTAATATGTGTTATGTTGCACAAGTTATTGTTTATCTTCATTGAGACAAAATTTTAATGCTTTTTTATATTATATTTATTTTACAAATTGTGCAGTAAAATAGACTTTTTTCTTTTGGAATCAGTACTATGGATTTTAACACATGTATAGATGCCTGAAAATCACCATCATGATAAGAATACAGAACATTTCCATGCCCCTAAAATTCTCTCATGCTATTCCTAATAGCCACACTTTTCTTTCCTCCTAACCCATAACAACCAGTAATCTGTTCTCCATGACTATAGTTTTGTCTTTTTGAGATGTCATATAAATGCATTTATGTATTACATAACCTTTTAATCCTAGTTTCTTTCACTCAACATAATGCCTTTGGAATTTATCCAAGTTGTCAAAAATTTTAATTTGTATTAATGTTGTCTTTGTGTATAAAGACACTGTTAATTATACAGCTGTTTATTTTGTAATAATCCATCTGGTCAGTATACCAAGAAACACTTGTATTAAGTAATAAAGGAGGAAGTTTACTGTGATATAGCATTTACCAAATTGTGTCCCTTTGATCACTAACTATATTCATGAAAAAATAGGAATCTGTAATCAAATTCATTTGAGAGATCTGAGAAATGCTGCATTATATAGAAGTAAATTGAATTCTTTACTACACAGTTTCTTAGAATCTTTACTATATGGCCTGAATTATAAAATTTCAAAAGGGAGATGTGGTTTGCAAGTGTTTGTCAAATTATTAAATTAAAAACTTTTTCCAGAACATTTATGAAGTTATGTCCACAGTTTTAGAAACATTAGAAGTGAAAAACATGGACTTTGGAGTCTGAATTTAAATCCTTATCCTGCCTCCTCATAGCTGCTTGACTCTGAACAAGTTCACCTGCATTAATCCCAGACTCCTTATCAGCTATAGACAGTATAGATCATTGTTTAGGAGAATAGGTTTTGAAATCTTACAGATCTCCATTTTCTTTTGGGTTTTTTCTTGCTTAGTTGCTTAGTATTAACCTCATTAATGAAATGAGGATTCTACTTATGAGAATTTAATGTGATAATAAAGTATCTAGTGCAATTATTTATGAGTGGTTTCCTGAGCATTGTCCTGAGGAAATAACTTTTTATAGAGAAGTGCATATATATCAGCAATTAACTTTAGACCCAATGTTTTCTGATGCAGAGTCATAATAAGAGCAGAAAAGGTTTTGCTTTCTTCCAATATTAGAAAGGACATATTTTCCAATGTGCTTACCAAAAAAGGGAGAGTAAATTGCTTCTTAACCTTTATTTGGATTAGTACTAGGAGATGAGAGTTTATACTTTTATATGGAAAAAATCGATGTTTATGGCGTTATTAATATTTGGAGCAGTTAAGCTCGATACATATGAAAAGATAATATGTTCTCCAAGTCATGATATTTGTTATACAACAAAGCAACACAAAAAGGTGCAAAAACACATACTCATTTCATTAGAAGTGATTTTTTAAATCTGGAGAGAAATCTTAATAATTAAGCATTTATTTTATAGGAAAAAACTTGCTGCTTAATACTGCCATTGCTAGGTTGGTAATTTAATATGCCAGATTACTGAGGTAAGACTAACTCACATCAACTGATATAAGACTCAAGAAGAATAAATTAGAGGGGTGCCTGGATGGCTCAGTCATTTAAGTGTCCGACTATGGCTCAGGTCATGATCTCGCTGTTCTGGAGTTCAAGTCCCTCATAGGGCTCTGTGCTAACAGCTTGGAGCCTGGAGCATGTTTCAGATTCTGTGTTTTCCTTTCTCTCTCTGTCCCTCCTTCACTCGTATTCTGTTTCTCTCTCTCAAAAATAAGTAAACATTGAAAAAATTTAAATAAAAAATAAGAGCACTGTTTCTTGTTTAGCTTACAACTTAAATATTTATGTTAAAACATCAAGACAGAATTATAAATAAAAATTAGTATAAACAGTTTATATGTAAGTATTAATGGAAACCTTTTTAAAAGCTCTTTTTGTTGTTGTTATAGAGCCAGCATAAGATTAGCAAATGTTCCATTGGTAATGTTTGATACCATGTATACAGTACAAAATGAAAGAGAAAGGGAAATTTATGGAGTGATTTCTAGAAACTAGATGATACTTTGGTGAATAAATGGAAGTAAATTATTTAGAGAAGCATATGTTCTCAAAGAATTTGGTAAAATTAGTGTCTAGTTCTTTTTAAAAATTGTTTTGAAGAAGAATATTTTCTATTAGTATTTACTTATTGAAAATACTTCATTAACATATTTTATTTTTATATATAAACTAGAAATATAGATATTACTTTGAGAAAAGTGAAAAATTATGACACTATCATAACTTTCTGAAACCTGTAATATTTTATAGTCATCTCAGCCATGCCCTAAAATTTTGATGTTAGTTTCACTAGCTAAATAGAACTGGCTGACCCAAGGTAAAATTGAGAAGATCACATTTTTTTGTTTTGTTTTTCCCATCTTTTTATCATAACTCTTTTCCCACAGAGAATCCATTACATAGAATTTTTGTACCTTCTACCACTGTGGGATTGCTACTTTTGCATTTCATTTTATATTGAAACTTGCCTCTCTTGTCCCTTAGGAATTTTGGACCCCACATGCCAACTGTTTAATATGATAAACTAACATACATTAATATTCTAATGGTAGTGATACAGAATTTTGGGAATCAACTAATACATGTGAAGATGTCCTTTTCAGTCAATGAGCACTTCTACCTCCCTTCAGCCATCCTGTCTTTTCCCCAGCCCACCTCATCACCTTTAGACTGATTCATTAGTAATTTTAATGGTAAGAATTCACCTCCAGAAAAAGGGATATGGTAGAATAGTAAGTCATTTAGTTGAGGTATTTTGGGCCAGGAAAGGTGTTTTCTCCCTGTCAAATTACATCCTGTATAATCCCCATCAAACTTGTTCATTAGCTCAGCCTGTGATAATCGTATCATTTTAAAGGACTTCTCAATCTCATTAACTTTTTTTTCCAAAATAGTGAACCATTCATAATATTTTCTGGTGGATTGTCCTATGACAAAGCTTGCAGAAGACCAAGTTTAACCATCATGCATGGAAAAGCAATTACAGTGCTTGAAATGGATCATCCTATTGTTGAATTCCTTACTTTATGTGAAACGCCCTATCCAAATGGTAAGTAACAAAAATGAAACTATTAATGTTGAAAATCATTTTTGAAATAAGGTCCTAATAAAATTAAGCTTAAATATTTTTAGTTTCGGCAGCTGACATCTACTGTGGCACAACACTGAGCTACAGGTGCTGGAGCAGGTTCTGCAACTGTACCTACTTGACAAACTGGAAGTAAGACAGATGTAGTACAGCAGTGCTGGAATTTCAGGTTCTTATATCAGGTAAGTGCTTTAAACTTTGATAAGGATGGTGGAAGCTGAGCTGGGAGGGTCCGATAGGGGTCCAGGGTGAAATCACTTGGGGAAACTGAGGTCTCCTAATAGCCACTCCTAGACCAGCTCCACCCATCCATTCCAGTGCTAATCAAAGTTAAAGCACTTACCTGATATCAGTGATCTGTAACTCTGGTGGTACTGCATCTGTTTCACATCTGGCTTTGCTTCAGATGCAACTGCAGCACCTCTGATTACTCTAGGATTGCTGATGTGTGGTTAGTGATTTATTTCAATTTTGAGAATAATTAGAAGGGCCTTTGGGAGAAGAGATGCATCCTGAATATAAAGACTTTTTTAGACATAAAAACAACTTATGTGCAAACTGTATAATTAAATATAATAATGAAATATTTTAATAATAAAATCTAAAAATTGAGGATGAAACATAAAAAGTAAAATATGAATTTATGATTAAAACAACACAGTACATATGCATATGCATATATATAACTACAATTTTTTAAGAGGGAACATACAAAAGAAGGAACTCTAGACTTGGAGACACAGTATTTGGCTTTATGATTTAGCCCTGTCATTTTAATTTTATGAGTTAGGCTTATCATTTTTAGAAAGAGAATAATAATATTGACTGCACATGATTATTGGAAGGCCAAAATGAGCATACTTTGTAACTATGAATATCTATAAATTGTTTTATTATAACTGTTAATTTGCTTAAAATTTTTAGTTTCATATTTAAAGATGGGATAGATTGATATATCAGTGTGGCATTTTATTTCCAGGGTTTCTGGGACAAATAAGTTACTTGTGTTAATTAATCAACAAATATTTATTGGATGCTTCTGTGGCCTCAGTACTGTCAGGACTTATTGAGAATATAGATGAAGTATGAAACTGATCTCTGATGTCAAATCACATAAAATCTGGTTGGATGAGGGAGATAATTGTGACTTAAGTAAAAACGTAACACTTAAGTGCTGAATTATATGGGTTTTAGTAATGTACTAATTTATAGGCTAGTCAGAATCGATGACAAATTTTCATGCAAAGCTGCACGGATAAAGGATTTAAATAGGCTTTGAAGAAGGACCTGGCACTTGAAGAGGATATTGAGTAAAGGTTTTAGAACTTGTAAGGTTTGCGAGGGTGACATCAATTAAGAGAAAAAATTGAAAGCCTTTTAGAGGCATTTGGAGATAGAGAGCAACAGAGGAATTTTGAGAAAATATTAACATGAAAGAAAGCAATGTTTTTAGTAAAATTTGCCAGAAAAGAGTGTGTGGGTCTGAAGAAAAACTGAAATCTTAAATTCCAGATTACAGCTGGGTGGCATTTGTCCAAATGTTCATTAAAATGATCAAGATCTAATACACTGCTACCTATAAGAATGGAAACAGGAAACTCCCTGAATTTGGGCACCAATTAGTTAGAGAATGACATGATAGAGGAGTCAAAGATAACATATTTTAAGAATAATGGTTTCATATGCAATAACTGTTTTTGGAAAGAGAAATTGCTTAGAGAGCAGAAAAAGAGAGGCAAAAGGTCTTTAATATTTATTTATGAATTATCAGAATATAGATGTTATTTGGAGTTCTGAGAATGAAAGATAAAGGAACAAAGGAACAAAGGGAGAAAGAACAAATAGAAGACCAAAAGCTGAATTTAGGAAAATGCATCCTGTTAAAGAGCTTGGAGAAAAATGTATGCCAGTAATAGAGACTGATAGTGTTTGATCTATGCAAACCACACATTTTACGTGTGTGTTTGTACAAATTTATGCACATTAGTAGAGATGTTAGGATAATCTATAATGATGTTAAGTAAGTTATAAATATATTGTAACTATGTATTATCACTTCCAAGCCACATATATGTGTTTGTTTTTCAGAGTAGTGATAATGAGGATGGAATTTTTGTCCGGGGCTAAGAGAATAACTATTTCTGGTTAAAACAATAGTACATGAAAATGACAGAAAAGGCCCTACAGTACACATTAGTATATAATAAAAATTTTACTCATTGCCCTTCAAGAGGCAACTATTTCCACATTTCTTATGTATTCTCCCAAAAAGTTTATGCATATGTGTATGTATACTTATCTATGTCTACATTATCTCTTTTTTGTACAAATGACAACATACTCTATGTACTATTCTGTATCATACTTTTTTTTCACTTAACAGTGTATTTTGATTATAACTCCATATGAGCAAATATGGAACTTCAATCTTCTTTACAGCCATAATGATAAATCTTATGCATTTGTTAAAATAAATTTATTAACAGTTTTTAATGTTGATAAATCATTTTGACATTTGTCAATTCAACTTATTTTTCAAAGAACACAAATGCCTCTTATCTCAGGGGGTATTGCCCAGAGTAACTAACCAACTACACTCGGAATTCGTCAGTTTCACATTTACATTTAACTGTATCTGGTCCTCTATAAGTGTCATAAATAATGCATTTCTCTTCAGAGAAGTAGTAATTATGATAGAGCCTTTCACCTTGTTGGGGACTAGGGTTAAAAGACTGCTCAAAAATAAACCAATCTAATGGAGAAAATGATATGATCGTTATCTATTGAGCAAATACTATGTGCCAGGCTTTGCATCTTCATATACACCTAATCTCCGTAACAGTCTAAGGAAGTTATTATTATTTTGCCATATCAATGGGTAAAGAAATTGAATTAATTTAACTGAGCTAATAAGTTAATGAATTTGCCTAAGATCAAACTGTTAAAAAATAATAGACACATAATTGAACCTAAACTGACTCCTAAGGAAATCTTTTTATTCAGCGGTTACCACAGTTCACCAAGTACTTCTACAAAGGTGAAACTTTTGCTACCAGTTTTTATTATTTTAAAAGAAACAATAATAATCTGAAACATACCTATCTCAAATGATAAAGCAGATATAACCACTGAAAAAAATTTATGAATTTTGCTCATTCATGCCAGTGTCTCAGCTATTTTATTTTTGTAGCAATTGCTTCCCAGCCAATGGTTGTCCTAAAGAGAAGACAAAGAAGAAAGTAGTAGTATAGAACTCCAGTGTTCCTTCAACTGAAAAACAAAACAAACAAAAAACCATAAAAACCCTAGGTTCAGAAGAATTAAAATAATGTTGAAAATTTAAAACAGCTCTAAGAGATAAGGGAGAAGCAGAGGAAGCCTCAGTTTGAGAACAGTTTGAATAGCAAACAGTATGAAGACTGCATCCACCCAAACTCCTCGGTTTTGGGGGTTTTGTTTCTAGTTTTTCTCTCATAGCGTGTGACTTATAAATATAAATAGGTTCTATAGCTTCTCAAGACTGTGAAGGTCATCTCTTCTGGTTTTCCAACTAAGACTTGAATTCTCTGAATAAAATTCTTGCCAAGTGATTGTTGAGTTTAGGATTAAATACCTGTTAAAGGGGCGCCTGGGTGGCGCAGTCGGTTAAGCGTCCGACTTCAGCCAGGTCATGATCTCGGGGTCCGTGAGTTCGAGCCCCGCGTCAGGCTCTGGGCTGATGGCTCAGAGCCTGGAGCCTGTTTCCGATTCTGTGTCTTCCTCTTTCTCTGCCCCTCCCCCGTTCATGCTCTGTCTCTCTCTGTCCCAAAAATAAATAAACGTTGAAAAAAAAAAAATTTAAAAAAAAAATACCTGTTAAAGTAGCTAGTAGAAACTGCTGCTATAATGAAAACTTAGAATCAGAATTTAGAATTAGAATTTAGAATCAGAAGGCCTGGGTTAAAGTTTCAGCTTTTTCAGTTAACTAGCTTTGTAAATTTGCGCCAATCTCATAACCTCTTTAGACTTTAATTTTGTTGATGAAATGAAAAATAGTAATATAACACCTGTTCTAGCTACTGAGAATCAAATATGTATGGAAGATGTTTTTGTAAATATTTACTTCTTAAATTGAGAACACTTTAATTGTACCTTTCCTTTATTAGTCTGTATTATAAATGGAAAACAATGCCTTTCCTTACCACAGTAACTAAATTAGTGCTCTCCCACCAACCATAAATCATTTCTTTTTTTGTCTTTTTCAAATTTTTACTTAAATTCCTGTTAGTCAACATATAGTGTAATATTGGTTTCAGGTGTAGAATTTAGTGATTCATCACTTATATATAATACTCAGGGCTCATCATAACACGTGCCCTTCTTAATACCCATCACTCAGTTAGCCCATCCCCCACTCACCTTCCTCAATCAACCCTCAGTTTGTTCTCTGTCATAATGAGTCTCTTATGGTTTGTTTCTTTCTCTCCCTCATTTTGTTTTTTTTCCCCCTTCCCATATGTTCATCTGTTTTTTTTCTTAATTCCACATATAAGTGAAATCATATGGTATTTGTGTTACTCTGCCTGACCTAAAAGTCATTCCTTATGCCATAAGCCTTGATTTTTTCTAATGGCTCACATTACTTTCTGAATCTATTCATTTACTTCTTCATTGTTTGTATACATCCCTAGAATGTAAACTCCATGAGAATAAGGACCTTGTCAATTTTATTCTGCATATATCCTTTGTTCTGAGAATAGTTGCTGGAACCTATTGAAAGGAGGGAGGGGTTAAAATTTAGGAACTTAAAATCACAGATTATCCTCAGACTCTCTGCCTTTTTGAGGTATATACTCTTAGGCACATAGTAGGCAATCTTTAAGTGCCTGTTAAAGCATATTGAATAGAAATTAAATTTTTTAGTATAAGGAGTGTTGCTTTCACAGGGAGGTGAAATGTGTCATAGCCCAGGAGGGCAGAACTATTTTCTTACAACATCTCCTTGTATGCATGAAATCAGATCTAAAATGGAAAGTTATGGAAGAATAAGATAAATGTTTGTGAGACAGAGATGACAGACTCTTTTCCAATAATCTATCACCATCTCATGATTATTGAGAAATATTTAACTCTATGCAACTTCTCACTTTCACATTCCCTGTAATGATCTTAAACATTAAGTCTGAGAAAAACAACAATATTTTTTAATTAAAAGTGTTTTGTTACTTTTTACTGTGGCTCATATTTTGGTCTTCTGAAATCATTTAAATAAAATTTGTAAGGAGACAAAGGAAATGAAAGTTTGATGATTTTATAAAATATGAAACATGAAAACTTCCACTTTTTATTTTTACTTGTAGAATTTCAAGAACCTTATGCTGTTGTAGTACTTCTGGAGAAAGATCTCATTGTAGTTGATCTGACACAAAGCAAGTAAGTTATTCATTTACAGATTAACACTATTTTTATACTCTATTCATTACAATGAAAATACAGGAAGTTATCATAGATAATTGACATTAGTGTATGTTAGATGGTAAATATTCTTTATGTGGAATATTGTTATGCTAGAATTGTAGAAATGTAATTAGTTCAATAATGAAAACAAAACCAGGAGACTTTAGGAGACGTAGAAAATTGTAACACATTTTTAAGGCAACACCTGATGTTTGGAAAGATGCATTTGGAGACTCAGGACACATAAAATGGATCACATTTTTTTCTGTTAACCTAAGCAAAAACAATCGTTATGAAAATTTGTACAATGTACCATATGGCCATCTGCTAGCTATGGACTAATGGAAAATGGCACATGATTAAAGTGTTATTGGACTACTGCAACAACAATACAGGAGAGCAGGATCTCAAAAGCAGAGGAGATGGAGGCCTTCTTTTACTTTCTTTTCTTTCTCATGTTGTAGGCAATGGAAACAAATATGAAATATTGCTCTTGGAGTTGCTTTCAACTCCTTTACATAGTAAAAGTAGATGCAATTTATGAATACTGTCTTCTTGTTACACATTTTCATTCTAAATGATGATAGACATGAAACTGATTTTCCCTATCTTTTTTCTTTTTTAATTGAATTATATTTAACAGACAATGTTATATTAGTTTTAGGGGTATGAGATATTGATTCAACAATTCTATACATTGTTCAGTGCTCACAACAAATGTAATCACCATCTGTTGCATTACAACATTATTACAGTATTACTCACTATGTTCCCTATATTGTACTTTTAATCTTGTGACTTATTTATTTTATAACTGGAAATTTATAGCTTTTAATCCCCTTTATTCCATCCCCCAGCCACTGTTGCCCCTCTGGCAACCACCAGATTGTTCTCTGTATTTATGAATCTAGAATTTTTTCTTTCTTTGTTCACTTATTTTGTTAGATCCCACATATAAGTGAAATCATATGGTATTTGTCTGTCTGAATTATTTCACTCAGCATCATACCCTCCAGTCCTATCTACGTTGCCACAAGTGGCAATATCTCATTAGTTTTTATGGCTAAGTAATATTTCAGTGTGTGTGTGTGTGTGTGTGTGTGTGTGTGTGTGTGTGTGTGGCACGTCTTCTTTATCCATCTATCAATGGTCATTTAAGTTACTTCTATATCTTGGTTATTGTAAATAATGCTGTTATAGGGGGTGCATATGTCTTTTAAAATTAGTGTTTTTGTTTTATTTGGGTAAAAACCCAGTAGTGGGACTACTAGATCACATGGTATTTCTATTTTTAATTTTTTGAGAAACCTCCACACTGTTTTCATGGTGGCTGCACCAATTTATATTCTTACCAACAGTGCACTGGGGTCTCTTTTCCACCACATCCTTGCCAATACTTTGTATTTCTTGTCTTTTTTGATTCTAGCCATTCTGACAGGTGTAAGGTGACCTCTCATTGTGGTTTTGATTTGCATTTCCCTGATGATTTGTGATGTTGGGCATCTTATTCTGTGTCTATTGGCCATCTGTATGTCTTCTTTGGAAAAAAATTTGTTGAAGTCCTCTGTCCATTTTTTAATCAGATTATTTAGTTTTATGGGGTTAACTTGTGTAAGTTATTTAAATATTTTGCATATTAACCTTTTATCAGATATATCATTTGCAAATATCTTCTCCCATTAAGTTGCCTTTTTCACTTTGTTGATGATTTACATTACCATGCAAAAGCTTTTCATTTGGGTGTACTCCCAATGGTTTATTTTTGTTTTTATTTCCCTTGCTAGAGGAGATACATATAGAAAAATGTTTCTATAGCAGATGTCTGTCTATCCTTGATGTCTATCTTTTCTTCTAGGAGTTTTAAGACTCCAGCTTTCACATTTGGGTTTTTAACCTGAGTTGATTTTTGTGTATGGTGTAAGAAAGTGGTCCAATTTTACTCTTTTACATGTAGCTGTCCTGTTTTCATAACACCACTTTGGAAAAGACTGTCTTTTCCCCATTGCATATTTTTGCCTCCTTTGTTGTAGGCTAATTGACCATATAAGGATGAGTTTATTTCTGGGCATTCTATTCTGTTCCACTGGACTATGTGTTGTTGTTTTGCTTGTTTGTTTTTGCCAGTACCATACTACTTTGATTATTACAGCTTTGTCATATATCTTGTAATCTGGAATTGAGATAATTCCAGATTTGTTCTTTCTCAAGATTGCTTTGGTTATTTGGGGTCTTTTGTGGTTCCACACAGCTTTTAGGATTGTTCTACTTTTGTGAAAAATGTTGTTAGTACGTTGATAGTGATTGCATTAAATATGTAGGTTGCTTTGGGTTGTATGGACATTTTAATGATATTCTTTCAATCCATGAGCATGGACTATCTTTTCATAGTTTTTGTTATCTTTAATTTCCTTCACCACATTTTATAGTTTTCAGAGTACAAGTCTTTCATCACCTTGGTTCAGGTTATTGCGAGGTATTTTATTCTTTTTGGTGTAATTGTAAGATTGTCTTAAAATTTTTCTTTCTGCTACTTCATTATTATAGAAATGCAACAGATTTTTGTATATTAGTTTTGTATCCTTCAACTTTATTGAATTCATTTATCCATTCTGGTAGGTTTTTGGTGGAGTCTTTAGGGTTTTCTGTATATAGTCTCAAGGCATCTGCAAATAGTGACAGCTTTACTTCTCCCTTACCAATTTGGATGCCTTTTATTTCTTTTTGTTGTCTGAATGCTGGAGCTAGGATTTCTAGTACTATGTTGAATAAAAGTGGCAAGAGTGGACATCCTTGTCTTGTTCCTGATCTTTGAGGAAAAGCTCTCAGATTTTCAGTATGATATCATATGAGTATGATGTTATCTGTGGGTTTTTAATATACAAACTTTATTATATTGAGGTATGTTTCCTCTAAACTCACTTTATTGAGAGTTTTTAATCAGGAACAGATGTTGTATTTTGTCAAATGCATGTATTAAGATGATCATATGGTTTTTATCCTTTTTCCTGTTAATGTGATGTATCTCATTGATTTATTTGCGAATATTGATCTATCCTTGCCTCCCGAGAATAAATTTGGGGTGGTGGATGATCATGGTGAATGATCCTTTAGTGTGTTGCTTAATGCAGTTTGTTAATATTTTGTTGAGGATTTTTGCATCTGTGTTGTTCATCAAAGATATTTGCCCATACATTTCTTTTTGTAATGTCTTTGTCTACTTTTGGTATCAGAGTAATGCTTGCTTGTAGAATGATTTGGAATTTTCATTTCTCTTCTATTTTTTAGAATCATTTAAAAAAAGGTTTAACTCTTCTTCAAATATTTGGTAGAATTTGCTTGTGAAGCCATTTTGTCTTGGACTTTTGTGTGTTGGAAGTTTTTGCTTACTACTTCAATTCTTTTACTAGTAACAATTCATTTCAAATTTTCTATCTTCCTAAATCAGCTTTGGTGGAATATGTTTCTAGGAATTTAGCCATTTTTTTCTAGGTTGTCCAATTTGTTGGCATATTTTTCATAATCTCTTATAGTTCTTGTATTTCTGTAGTGTTGGTTGTTATTCTTCCTTCATCTCTGCTTTTGTTTGAGTCTTCCTTCTTTATTCCTTGATGCATCTGGCTAAAGGTTTATCAGTTTTGTTTATCCTTTTATTTTTTAATGTGTATTTTTGAGAGAGAGAGAGACAAACAGACAGACAATGCGAGTGGGGGAGGGGCAGAGAGAGGTATACACAGAATCTGTAGCAGACTCCAGGCTCTGAGTTGTCAACACAAAGCCTGATGCAGGGCTCTAACTCACAGTGAGATCATGATCTGAGCCAAAGTCAGATGCTTAATTGGCTGAGCCACCCAGGTGCCCCAGTTTTGTTTATCCTTTTAAAGAAAGGATAAACCAGCTCCTGGTTTCAATCTTTCTATTGTGTGTGGATTTTTTAATCTCTATGTTGCTCTAATTTTTATCATTTCCTAGGTTGTTTGAGGTTTCTCTTATTTCTTGAGGCTTATATTGAGGCATGTATTGCTACAAACTTCTCTCTTAGGACTGTTAGAACTGTTTTTGCTGTGTCTCAAAGATTTTGGACTATTGTGTGTATGTGTGTGTGTGTTTTTCATTTGTCTCCATATATTTTTTTATTTCCTCTTTGATTTCTTGGTTGACTCATTGGTTGGTTAGTAGCATGTTGTTTAGACTTAATGTATTTGTGTTCTTTCCAGATTTTCTTGTAATTGATTTTAATTTTCATAACACTGTGGTCAGAAAAAATGGTTGATATAATTTTAATCTTTTTAAATTTATTGAAATTTGTTTTGTGGCCTAACATGTGATCTATCTTGGAGAATATTCCATGTACAGTTAAAAAGAACATGTATGCTGCTGTTTGGGATGGAATAATATGTATATATCTGTTAGGTCTATCCAATCTATTGTGTCATTCAAAGTCATTTCCTTTAGATTTCCTTTCTGTGATACAATTGATATAAATGGGATGTTCAAGCCCTCTACTATTATTTGATTATCAATTTTTCCCTTTATGTTTGTTAATATGTGCTTTATGTATTTGGGTCCTCCAATTTGGGTACATAGATATTTAAAATTGTTAAATCATCTTCTTGGATGTTCCCTTTATCATTATATAGTGCCTTTCTTTGCCTCTCATTGCAGTCTTTGTTTTAAATTAAAGTCTTTTTATCTAAATATTGCTGCCTCCATTTTGTTGTTGTTGGTGGTGGTTTTGGAGTGGTTTTTTGCTTCCATTTGCATGGTATATGTTTTTCCAATCCTTCACTCTCAGTCTGTATGTGTCTTTAGCTCGGAAGTGAGTTTCTTATAAGCAGCTTATAGAAGGGCCTTGTTTTTTTAATCCATATAGTCATCCTATGTCTTTTTATTGGAGCATTTAGACCATTTAAAGTAATTATTGGCAGGGTGACTGGGTGGCTCAGTTGCTTAAATGTCTGACTTGATTTCGGCTCAGG